CTTTTACAGTCACTCTTCTGACCATCCGTTTCACAACGAAATTATTTACAGGTCTCTCCGAAACTGGCTCCTCTATTACTCAGATGGCCGAGAACCGATGGGCCCAGCCACCAGCCCTAATGTGCTCACCCTCATGTGGTTCATTACTGCAAATAAAGGTGTTGGCCAAAATGATCTGAAGCAGCTGAAAACTATCCCATTATGTAGCACCCAATCAAGGACTTCTGTGTTTTTTTAATCCTTTACTTGACTCTCACCACATGGAAGCATTTTGAGAACGTTCTGTGGGCTTCATGAAACTATTCTGGGACTCCCGCGCCGACAACAGGCCTCACTTTGATGTCAGTGCTAAATGGCTGTTCCAGGGAAGCGTGCTCACTAACTCTACCCCTTCTTTACGCCCGTCATTGTTAAACAGGGCAGCTTTCGCAAATCGCTTTTGCAAAATCTTATGGTTTCTGCACTTGGTCCTAGTTTCCAAACTCTCTCTTCCAAAGGAAACTCAGGGTTTGCCTTTCCTAACTCTTGCCTGATGAAGTTGTACAGTTGTACACTGCCAGTCCTGGCAGTGCTGTTAATAAGGTGGATATGATTATTACTGGTTATCATCAATGAAGACAATAACAAACATTCGTGAACACCTGTTTTGTGCGAGGCACTGTGGTAAGTCCTTTAGATGCATTATCTCATTTAATCTTAAAAATAGCCCCAGGTGTTGGTACTATTACATTCTCTATTTTGAAGATGGCAAAACTAAAAGAACACACACACTATATTTGGGGTGAAATATCTACTATGTGAAGAGACTGAAACAGGTTTAGAGCTTGTATTCTTAAACTCTTAAGCCACCTGGTAGATTAAAAGAATGATGTACATTCAGAAAGGTAAGAAGTCTTGAGTGAATACAGCTTAATGCATTTTCATAAAATGAACACATCCATGTAATCAGCACTCAGATAAAAAAATATTACCAGCATCCTAGAAGCCCTACTCTTTGCACCTCTTAACCATTAGCCACCCACTCTGCATAGGAAAATCTTATGACTCTTCATATTATATGTTAATTTTGCCTATTTTTGAGCTGTAAAGGAACTAATATAGTGTTTCTTCTGGGCTTTTTTTTTTTTTTTTTTTTTTTGAGATGGAGTCTCGCTATGTAGCCCAGGCTAGAGTGAAGTGGCACAATCTCAGCTCACTGCAACTTTCACCTCCCAGGTTCAAGCAATTCTCCTGCCTCAGCCTCCCAAGTAGCTGGGATTACAGGTGCCCACCACCATGCCTGGCTAATTTTTGTATTTTTAGTAGAGACGGGGTTTCAGTATGTTGGTCCGGCTGACATCAGATGACACCCACCTCCGGCCTCCCAAAGTGCTGGGATTACAGGTGTGAGCCAGCGCACCCCATCTGGCCTTAATTTGTTTTGCCCCATATTTGTGAGATTACCTATGATATTATATGTAGCAGCAGCTCATTTTTCATTGCTGTATTCTACTGTATCACTGTATTAGTCCATTCTCACACTGCTATAAAGATACTACTCAAGACTGCATAATTTAAATAATAAAGTAAAGAGGTTTAACTGACTCACAGTTCTGAATGGCTGGGGAGGCCTCAGGAAACTTAAAATCATGGTAGAAGGGGAAGCAGGCAAGTCTTACATGGAGCAGGCAAGAAAGATAGTGTGAGAGCACAGAAAAAATTTACCATTTATAAAACCATCAGATCTCGTGAGAATTCATTCACTATCACGAGAACAACATGGGGGAAACCACCCCCATGATCCAATCACTTCCCTCCCTCAACACGTGGGGGTTACGGGTCCCTCCCTTGATACGTGAGAATTCCGATTCGAGATGAGATTTGGGTGGGGCACACAGCCAAACCATATCAATGACCATACCACAATTTATTCTGTTGCTAATAGGCAGGAATTTTTTACAACCTGGGGCTACTATAAATAACGCTGCTAGAAACATTTTTGTACACACATACTGGTAACATACACATAAATATATTTCTGCTGGCCCACACCTAGGAATGGAATTGCTGGGTATGTTTAGCTTTAATAGATACCTCCAAGTTCTATCCGTGCTGTTATGAATTGGCAAATGTCTTCAAGCATATAATGGACTGAACTGTGTGTCCCCAAATTCATATGTTGCAGCCCTAGCCCCCAGCGTGATCCCATTTGGAGATAGGGCCTTTAAGAGAATAATTAAGGTTGAATGAGGACATATGAGTGGGACCCTGATCCAACAGGACTGGCATCCTAAAAAGAGACACCTGAGCTCACTCACGTGCTCCCTTATTGTGTACCAAGGAAAGGCCACGTGAGGCTGCAGCGAGAAGGTGGCCGCCAGCAGCCAGGAAGAGAGGCCCACTAGACCCAACCCTGTGGACATCTTTTGTCTTGGACGTTGAGCCTCTTGACATGTGAGAAAATACATCTCTGTCGTTTAAATCCACCTAGTCAGTGATTTCACATTTTATCAGCTGGAGCTGGCAAATCCAGAGGAGTGGTGAAGAACCTGAACTCACTTCAGTGTACTTCCTTTCTATATGGGATCTTGGCCTCTCCGATCCTGGCAGCTGGGCAACTTTGTGCCTACAGTCTTGTCTCCCTAGCCCTTTGATTCTGTCAAAGCTCATGTCAGGGTCACAGACTCTTAATGGCTTTGTAGCGTCATCCTGTGCCACTTCCAGCCTGGCAAAAGACTGGAGGGAAAAAAGTGCTTTGAGGGTGGTCTGTAAAACGTTACTCTATCATTACTGGAAATGGAAATCTATTTATAGAGTAAATAATTAACTCTAAATAAAGTTTAAATAAACTCTTTAAATAAAAAATAACTTTATTTTTTAAAGTTATTTGTAAGTCAGTTGTTTTTAACTTACAAATAACTTAAAAAAATAAAACCGTAGTGGGACTAGCTTACCAAATCTGGCTGCTGGCTTTTTTTTTTGTCCCTAGACATGGGGTCTTGCTGTGTTGCCCAGGATGGTCTCAAACTCCTAGGCTCAAGTGATCTTCCTGCCTCAGCCTCCTGAGTAGCTGGAACTACAAGTGCCTGCCACCATGCCTAGTGTCTGGCTGCTTTTCATTAAAGTATTTCTCAGAGTCAAATAGCTATTCAAATGTGGTATTTGCTAATTTTTGAGATATCAATCTGATAGAATATTTTCCTTTAAGGATGTCTCGGTTTGAAAACCCATACTTTCTAGATCTTGTAAACTTAGAGAACTTATAATTTCCTAGACACTTAGAAAGGCGACTCCCCTCAGAAAGATTAGACTGGCTTGGAATGTTTTCCTAAGAAAGATGTTCATTTATAAGAGATACAACCATTCAAGGGCATCTGAATTTTTAAAAAACGATCACTTTTGATGGCTGTAAAACATAATCACAGATAAAACCAGAACAAAGCCCTGTATGTGAGAATGCCTGGTCCCGAGGCCCTTGCTGTCCCCCTTGTTAGCAGTGAGGCTCTGGGGAGTCACTTAGCTACGTAGGGCGTCAGTTTCTTCATGTATAAAGGGCATAATCATGCTTGTGAAGTGTTTCCAAATCTCCAGAGCACTGTTGGCTGCTTCGCCCTGGGCACTCCCTCAGCACTGCCGAGGTTAATCCTCAGCACTGACTGCAGGGCAGTGCTCCATGACTAGCACACACGTCTTGGCCTCCTCCACTAGACCATGTCCTTGGTCAGGCAGAGGCCTATCCTGTTCTTTTATCCGTAGTCCAGTGCCTTGTACGTGGCAGGTACTGAATGATGAACAACAAGTCCTCCTGCCAGCACCCAGCACACTGCCTTTAACCCTCCCGGCCTGACCCTCTGAGTGTTCACTGAAATGGTGTGCCCTACGCTGATATATATATATATATATATATCAGGGCAACTGCATCTTTGATAGATTTGGGAAGTGGATTTGCTACACGATGTGAGATAATCAGTATCACCCTAGAAAACTCCTTTAAAAGCCCACAAAGTACAGTATGATTGTATATTTAATCCACTACAACAATCCTTAATGCACCATCAATTTTGAGAACCCTAAGCTAGGGTAAAAAAAGGAACTGGCATAGCAAAGATCTAGGCATTCAAACTCCTTTTTGAAATATCTGTTGAAATACACATTGAGACCAGGCGCAGTGGCTTACACTTGTGAACCCCGCACTTTGGGAGGCTGAGGTGGGTGGATCACCTGAGCCCAGGAGTTCAAGACCAGCCTGGGCAACACGCGAAACTCCGTCTCTACCAAAAATACAAAAATTAGCTGGGTGTGGTGGCATGTGCCTGTAGTCCCAACAACTTCGGAGGCTGAGGTGGGAGGATAGCCTGAGCCCGGGAGGTTGAGGCTGCAGTGAGCCGTGATCTTGCCACTGCACTCCAGCCTGGGTGACAGAGTGAGACCCTGTCCAAAAAGAAAAAAAATAAAAAAGATACCTATTGAGTCCCTGCCATGAGGGCTGAGGAAGGCCTGCTCGCCTGCAGTGTCCTTCATTCTGCTTTCACTGATACCTCTATGACTGCTGCACCTACGTGTGTTAGAGATTTTTTACTGTGAAGAAAACGAAGTGAGGCTGAGTTCTCAAGTCAACGACTAGCCTGGGTCCCTGGAACATCCCTCTTTTGAAACCCAGTACACATTAGCTTGGGATCTTTAAAGGCTTTGAAAAAGTCCTGTGGAATATTTACTTGGTTACCCCAGTTTCTCAACCTTAGTTTGACATAGAAGCTTGATTCTTCTTGGTATATGATACCTATTAATATTCTGTGGAACATCTTCAGTGTGACATGCTGGGAATGAAGCCTTAGGCCATTACTCAAAGCATTTCTGACTCTGATTTTACAAACAATTCTTAACACAAATGTTTGGCTTCAGGGCAGCAGTTGAAAACAAATTAGAAATGAGTAAGGAAGCCTGTCAGATTAGAAAGAAAATGGACAGCTAGCATCCTGGCAGGTATGGAAGGGACAGAGTATGACAAAGCAGCCACGGGGTTAGATTCAGATATTTAATGAATATTGTTGCATGGTGCAATCATGGAGGTTCAAAATAATAGCAATTGAGTCCATAAGGGAAGATGACATTCTTGCTTGACAAGAATGTCATTATATTTCACCAAGACTAAAATTACAAAGTTTCGGTGTATAAAGGCAAGATTTAATTGTTGGGAAAATTTATCAGAGCCAGCCACAAAAGCCAGGCTGACCAAATCAAATGGATTCTTTACATCTTCCAAGTTTCCAGAAGAACCTTGAACATCGTTAGCCAGAAGATATGGTAAATTTGACCCCAGACATTCTCTTGAAGGAGTAAGGTCTTCTAATGAGTGAATGTCAAGACATCAGCACATAAGTAATGGTTTATTTCTCCTGTAGGTCACATCCATCTGTGAATCAAGCTGCCTTGCAGTCCACATGGTCAGCATCTCTCCCATGGCTCAAGGTTCACTGATCAAGGTTGTTTAGCCAGTCTTGTAGTATATCAAAAGCCTCTCCATTTTTTTTGTTTGTTTGTTTTAGTGACAGAATACACAAGGGAATTCTTCACAGGAGGAGTAGTAGTCCTAAATCCCTTCTGCTTTCCATTGTATTGGATGTATCGCTTGTTCTCTTTAATAATCATTTTTTTCTATCCTCATTCATTGTACTTGGACAGTTTTAACCTGGGGATAATGTTCATAGACTGTAGCTCCTGGAAGAGCAGCTTGCAGGCATACGGAATACGGAGGGAAGACACGTGGCAGGATGACTTGCAGTAATGGCACCTGAAACCCAAGTCAGCAAGTGTTAGACAGCAACTCGGAAACAAAGGCCTTCACGTAGGAAGTGAAAACGGTCTCTATAAAGTTCTATTATCATTCTATCAAATTATCTTTCTGTTCCTAAGTGTTCAGTTGCACTGTCATATAAGTACATATGCGCCCAGAAAAAAAGAAACATCCAAGGAAGCAAAAGAAAAAATGAAACAAACACCATTCCCTCCGGTGTTCAAAGCATGCAAGTTGAGTCAGTCGTTACCACACATCTAGCCCTTTCTCCTTAAAATGTAAAACATCTGCCTATATACTTGTTTTGAAAGAGCTCCAGAAATCTGAACCATTGGGAAATTTACCCAAATTTGATTTTTTTTCATTGTTTAAGGAGTTTTAAACTAATTCAATCAATTTCCATGTATTTGATAAGCATCTACTATACTAGCAGTATATTATTCTAGGCAAGGTGCTCAACAATTATAACTTGGTTTCTGTCATTGAGATACATAAAGTCTGATGGAAAAGACAAAACTTCTGTAATAGGACAGTGGTATTCAATCAAATGGTAATCAGGCTTGGTTATTTCTATGAGTGTTGGAAGGTACATGTTGTCCCTTGTGAGAAATTAAGAAATGTATGTATGTGTGTATGTGCATATATATTTCCACTTAACCCTAACAACAACAGCCCATGTTCCTAACCAATTTGCCTCATATTCCAATTAGGACTTTATTTTCTCTTCTTTCCGGAAGAGCTGGTAAACTGAACTTAGTTCTTAAATCAATGGCTACAACTGTAGAAGGGTCCCTGGGGAGAAAGTGATTTATTCTTTCAGGTTTCAGATCAAAATAGGACCTTACCCTACTCCTCAAGGGTCCGCAGCAGCTGGGACAGTAGGTATCCAGTACAAATCCTGACTCTCAACAGGTAGAAAACTAGGTCCTCACAGTTAACGAGGAGGAAAATGAATCCAAGAAGAATAGCAACTGAGGCTTGGAAGATCTGGTGCTGACCAGGAACTGGAGGAGGATTCCTTAGTGAACAAAGGATTGGCCATTCTGGAGGGCAGTAAGACAGTGTGTGTAAAAATGTAAATGTGCATATTCTTTGATTCTGTAATCCCAAAAGTGACAAAGGGATGTGTACAAGAATGTTGACAGCCACACTATTTATAACAGCAGAACGTGAGACTATGCAAATGTCCACTGGGACATTTACATAGAAGACTGAAACCATCAGACCTGCTGTTGTGGATGCACATTTATTGAAATGGAAGGTGTCCAGGACAAACTGTGAAGTGAAAAAAGCAGTTTGTTAATCAGCATGGTCCCAAGGGGGCCCTCAAACAGGTTTTGTAAGTGTATGGAGCCCCCAAAATCATATGTAAAATTTTAATTTTTTTGTGTGTATATTTGTATCTTTCTCCTCTTATCAGAATCTTGAAAGAGTCACCAAAATGTTAATAGTGGTCATCTCTGGGTGGTGGGAATTAATGTGACTCGCTTTATATTTGTGGTAACTTTTGAATGTTTTACAATGAGCAGGGATCATTTTTGCAATCAGTAAAATAAAGCTTGTATTATTTTAGAAAAGAAAAGTAAGCACTGAGGCTGAGAATGTACACGTGGTGGTGGTAACTATGCAGTCTCCTGAGGAGGAGAATGAGAGAAGACTAACCCTCACAAATGCACAATTGATGCTATGACGAGGCGACGCAGGGTGCTTAACCTGTATTTGATCCGTCGATAGTACAAATATAAACTTGGTGAGTTACTTTTTCTTAAAAGATTATTTAAAGACCTATTTAATACATTCGAGTTTAAAAATTATCTTTTTAATGTGCTTAGGTGGATGTAATCTATCTAGGAATCATGTTCATGCTTTCATTAAATTGGGGAAATGGATTTAACAGGGGTAACTTTTCTCTTCTTCTGACTAGTACATTACCCAATGACTCCAATCCAAGCTAATCTATTTTACATTTCCATATGTACTGATTCATATTCCAGAAAGCCCTTTAATCTTCTCTATTATTAAATATTTCTCCATCATTTAAAATGTTCCAGTGTGCATGTGTGTGTATAAAACCTGACCTTACCTTGTATCTGAACAATCTGCAAAGGTAGAAACTTGACCTGAACAACAATAAAATGAACGGATTTTTTTAGGGCAAAGGTAGCAAAAACGGGAGGCTGTGGCTTCACATGAGAAATGACTGTCCAGTGAAACATCCTCTATGAGCTAATTATCTTAACAGGGATTTTCTTTTTCCTGAAGTCTTCCTTTTGGACCTCGCTTTTGTGACTTATACCCTTAGTGTCTTCTGTAGAACAACAGTCGTGCTGTAAACATCCCCATAGCAATGCCTCACTAATGTGCAAATCCCTGACAAAAGGCCAGTTTCAAGGTTCCGAACTGCTCTAATTACCCAGCCTCCATTGTGCCGCTCATTAAAGAGCAACTTCCTCCAACGACGCCCATGCTCCCTCCCACTCAACCTAGCACACATGATCAGGTAATGATGGGAAAAATGACAGCATCATTATGCTCCTCGGCCAGAAAGCAGCACCCGAGGCGGCGGCTAGACTACTAGAATGGATTAGGATTTTTTTCTGTTGGCAACAAGGGTATAAGTAGGCCACTCAAAATCAGACATACGGTATATATTGAGGTCTGTTTAATTACAGTAAAGATCCTCAAAGTGTATAACCTGATTTAGTTCTCTTTCAAAGGATTTCAAATACAATGCACACTGAACACATACGCTTCAAAATCAGACACTGCCATCAGATGCTCTCTAAATGAGACAGAAATGAAGCAGGAAAGAAGATATACATTTAGCAGAATGATGTTGAGGATCAATCACTGCTTACAGGTCTTCTTGCTTACATTACCTTCCCTGGGTAACCAGTGGCGGAGGGGGGAAGGTTCTCAAAGTGCATAAGTGAATCGGGTTGACTGTTTTCTTTTTTCTTTGGGGGTAGGGAGAGGGAGGAGGAATGCAAGGGGGAGGAAGAGAAAAGGAAACGTTTTGAAGTTCCATGACCTCTATTTTTAATGACATGATTCTTCTGTACCATCCTTTCAAAGTAAATTATTTAAAAATGCTTGTGTCAAATTTGAAGATTTAAGCATAGTGGAACGAGGATTCAGGCATCTTCCTATTACATGATTTCTTTTCTTTTTTTTCTTTTTGGTTGCACAGCCCAGACTATAAAAAGCAAGCTCAATATGCATTTCAAAAGACAAACAGACATCTCAGGACTGAAGCAAACCCTCATCTCATTCATATAAGAAACAGCTAGGCTTATCCTCGGAATCATGTCACCTCTTCTCTGCAACCTTATGAAAGATGAACTGCAAATGGCCACCTCTTCTGTTAGTTTTTAAAGTGAAATGATCTCTTCACGGACAAAGAGTCTTCTACACCAAAATCAGGAAATAACTGGCTAAAAGGTTTTGACATTTATCTGGCAAGGGATACACTGTGTTCTAAGAAGCCCACTTGTTCAACTTGTGATTGGCTTTTTTCAACTTAGAAATTAGTAGCTCAGGATGGCAAGAAGTTGAGACTCTGTCTGGAAGGAAACTACAGTGGGGACTCAATGGGGAAACGGTGGCCCACAAATTCCTCAAATTCCAGCAATGAATGTTATTTGGGCCTAACTATATCTTGGGGATGGCCCCTATCTAGAGAAATGGCACTCCAGGGAGGGCAGGTGAGGGGCAATGAGGGGGTGAGGCTGGAAGCTCTGCAGCTTCTGCCTTAGATCTTGTTGGACCTTGCCTCTGATTGAAAAGTTAAGTAAAGAACTCACTTTTGGCTGGGCGTGGTGGCTCATGCCTGTAAATCCCAGCACTGTGGGAGGGATCACTTGAGCCCAGGAGTTTGAGACAAGCTGGGCAACATGGTGAAACCCTGTCTCTACAAAACATACAAAAGTTAGTCAGGCGTGGTGGTATGAGCCTGTAGTCCCAGCTACTCAGGGGACTGAGGTGAGAGGATCGCTTCAGTCTGGGAGGTTGAGGCTGCAGTGAGCCGAGATCACACCACCGCACTCCAGCCTGGGTGACAGTGAGACTCTCTGTCTCGAAACAAAACAAAACCAAAAACAAAATAAAAAACCCCTCGCCTCTGGGGAACTACGGATTCTCTTGCCCACAGGAGTGTTTTAGGAATAACCCTAAGCGAGCTTTTTGTTCTTCGGCGACAGAGTGGAATCATTACAAATAGGAAAGGTGGTGCAACTGCACAAAAACAAAAAAAAATCTAGTGTCATCTTTTAAGGTGACCTTTGTGTACCAAACTCTACACAGAAATTATAAACTTTACAAACAACATGATTTACTTATTGGCAATCCTATAAATGCAGGGTATCATTCAACCAGTACTCTTTCATGAAGCATCTACCAGGTCCCAGGCTGGAGAAATGAGGGTAAACATGACAGGATGCAATGAGAATAAAGTAGAAGATAAGCTCCTTGGGAGCAGCCATCATCTGTCTTGTTCACTGCTGCATTTCTGGGGCCTAGAACAGTGTCTGACACTTAGCAGATACTTACTAAATGTTTGCTGAATAAATTACTGAGACAGACCCGGTTTCTGCCCTCACAGAATCTACCGTACAAGTGTGAAGCAGCTAGCCTTGGCAGAGAGAGTACAGACAAGGGGGCAGGGTACCAGGTCGTCTTGGTCTTGGCTCTTGGCTCTGTCACCAATTTGCTGTAAGACCTGGGGCAGCATCCCTGGCTCTTTGGGTCTGAAGTTACAAATGAAAGCATTCGATGTAATGTTCCCTAAAGAGGTTTCTTTAACACACTGTGATTCTAACATCCAACAATGCATCTGCTAGAATTTTCACAGGCAAATAGTGTTATAAAAAGTACCTGAGATAATATTTAAAAGAAGATAAAGTTTGTACTCCTTGGGAACTGAGCCTCTAGCTGTGTAGGAAGTAGATCACAATGCAGACAAATGAGACATGTACACAGAGTATCCCCAATGACAGGAATACATGCATGAGGGAGGGTATGTTAGTGATCACAGACAGAGGCTGGAGAATACGCGGATAGGATCCAGGGTCAATTCTTGAGCTGTGATTTAAGAGGCAAGAGGTGTGGTATGAGAGACATATGGTATCCACTTACCAGCCAGAATACCCCAGAAGTCCACACTGCCCACAGACATCAACCTCAAAGGCATCACTTGAAATCATTAGTCTCTCTAGCAAAAGCATACTGGCTCCATAACCGATTAAACAGTCACGTTCCATTTCTCCAAGACGCAAGCCACCATCACGAGACCGTCCTTCGGTGGGTTGCCTTTGAAACAAGTTATTAGACAAATGTGTTATTATTCTGCTAAACAAACAAAGAAGCAGCATCACATGCTGGCAGAGAGCACGAGGCTTTGGAGCAGGGCTCACCTGGATCCAAATCAATAACTGGACAGTGACCTTGAACATGCTACTCAGCCTCAGCTGTAAAAGCACATAAGCACACCTATCCCAAACAGCCTGAATTGAGAAAAAATACTGATGGTTGTTATGGTTAAATGAAATTAATATATAATTACATAATCTCATATGATATAACAACATATTAATATATAATCGAGAAAACACCATTACTATTACCATCACTATCATTATTATTAGAACTTAGCAGAGTTTTCAAATCAGGAAACAATGTCTTTGAGTATTTTCAAAGATGTCTCAGTATTCTATTATTTAAAAGCAGAAAAACTAAGCAGAACAGACTGGGGGGGGGAACCTGGATCCTCCAGTAGTTGTGGCCAGAGCTGTTAGCCTCTTGAATGGATTCCCTGTGGTTTGTGTATATGCTGGGCTTGAGAATACTTTAAAAGGTTCAGAATCCAGGACCCAGAGATCTAGGTAAAATCAGGGGGATCTGAACAATTTAGGTAACCCCATGTAGGTATGGATCACACAAATTATTTGGGGGAAAAAAAAGCAAGCTCCCTGGCAGGCTTCTTAAAGGTAATCTTTGAGCAGGGGTGACCATGCACCCCTTGTTTGCTGTATTCCATAGCATCTTTTAATCTTTGTTGTTGCTGCCATCTCCCAAAGAATTAAGAAGGTGAACACAGGGTATGCCAATACATACCAAAATTTTACGATTTTTAGAATTGTTGTGGTTTTAAGTTTCAATGTGAAATCAAAGAAGTTGTAGAATACTTGTTGAAAGGAAATATGCACATGAATAACTTACAAATAGGTCTAAATAAACACATTATAGTGGAAACTTCATAACTGAGCACACTGATACATTTTTATCTGCCAGTAGAAACACGCATGGGCAGTTGCTTCCTCCACCTGAGGTCAGTGAACAAGGTAAAGGTAGACAGACCACATGTGGACAGAATCCAATACTTGGATTTTAACCAACTAAGATAACTGACTACAGACAAATGCACTTGAGGCAGTCTTCATATGGAAGGCACAAAAGTAATACCAAAGTAATAACTTTTTCTACACAACAAAGCAAAATATAGGAAATAACTGCTTTGACATTTATGTTACTCTGAAATAGTTTTTGGATGTTGTAACTGAAATGGAAGTTTAGGAGGGGACAGCATTTAGGGGAGAAACACATCTAACCCAATGAGGGTCCCATTGCTGAAGTGATTATTGTCTTCAGAATCTCAACTTCTCCTCCCTCTTTGCAGTTTTAAGCCCACATGTGTCTATCATTTCAACAGAAATGTGCAAGTGCTCAGTTTTAAATGGTCAAGGAATTGAGTCATCTACACCTCTCCCTTGGTTTAAAAAAAAATAAAAGCCCCAGCATGAGCTGCCTCATCCTTGCCCCCTCTCCACATTGTTACATCCAGGCTGTGCTCAGTGAAAGTGGGGAGGGAACCGGATGCTTGCCGATGCCACCTGTGGATAGGCATTGTATCCATTCTGTATTCACACTCTCGACATTTACCGGCACCTGTTAAGTAGGTATATTGTCTCCACTTTAAATACGAGAAATGCTGAAGCTGAGCATTTCATCAGACTGTGGTCATCAGTGATCTGTTCAAGGCTTGTGATGGAACGAAAAGGTAGAGATGAGAGCGTCTGACTCCAAGGCCTGGGTTCCCTCCCTTAGCCCAGGGTTCCTCAACCTTGGCACTGCTGACATACTGAGCTGGGTGACTCTTTGTTGTGAGGGGCTGTCCCTATAGCATCCCTGGCCTTTCCCTACTAGATGCCAGTAGCTACTTCCCCAACCCCAAGTTGGGACATATGAAAATGTTTCCAGATGTTGTTAAATGTCCCCTGGGAGGCAAAATCATCCCTGGCTGAGAACCACTGCCCTCGACTACGCATTTCCAACTGGAAAAAACAGCACTAAGAACATGTGAAACTTAGTAGCTGTAATTCTCTTTCCCAAGAAATTTATCCATTCATTAACACACAGACACTGTGCTTGGGATCGAGGGTATACCTGTATGGGGTGCAGGTGGCCCCTAACCTCCTCTAGCTTACTCAAGTAAGTCTGCAAGTGGAGGTGCCTTATGTTTCAATAACATTAGTTTTAAAAAACTCCAATTGTGGTTTATGCTAACAATTAATGTATGCATGTGTCTTCTGTGTACACAGGGGCATATCAATGTGTGTGTGGGTATATACATACACATCTTCTTATATGAACCTTTATAAATAGGACCATATTTGCAGACATTTACACAGTAAATAGTTGTGTTAGGAGTCCACTGGCAAGACCTATGGTGGGTTTGCTCTTGCACTTGTGAAATATTTTGTAATTGGCTGCTACTTTTTCATGTTAATCATACATATATGATTTTCTTAAAGTCAAACTTGCCAAATTTTGACATCTCAGGAAAACAGAAACTTTGTTGAGTCTGCTTTTTGCCATATCTGGAAAATACAAGGTGGGCTTGACTGCATTATCAATTCTTTTTGTAGGTACTTTTCTCTTACCTGGTAAGGACGGCTCGTGGGCCCCGGGCCCGGGCATGCATTTTATCCAGCACCATGTGTTTCAGCTTCTGATAGTACACGGGGCCAAAATATATGTATGCTTCTAAGGGCTCACTGAAAGAAAGATCAAGTGTTGTGGGTTAAGAAACTACGTTTGGGCTAACAAGAGACAGCCTTTGGACCCATCACTGGCAGGTCCTTACTCATTTATGACTGACTGGATAAGAATGATTTTCAGTCTGTAGTGAATGAAAAGACTAGTTCTAAAAATATGAAAAGTACCACAGCTATATTCAAAGATAAATAGTTTTACAAAGAAATAGACACTTAAACAGGTTGGGAAACAGTGTGTATGGGATGATCCCTCCTTCAGGGTGACCTCCCTGGTCAGGCCACCATCCTTTCTTGCTTGGGCTGCCACAGACAATCTTCTATTTAATCTCCCTGCTTCCACTCTAATCCCTCAACAATCTATTCTTTGCATAAAAAGTCAGGGGACTCCTTCTAAAATGTAAATCACAATAGGTCATTCTTCTGTCCTCAACTCACCAATGGCTTCCTATCATACTCAGAATCTGTACTGCCAACATTCTATATTATGGTCCTATAGTGAGACATACTCCAGTTCCTGCACACCTTACTATTCCTATTCCCATGTCCTGACACTCACGCTACTCCAGCAACACTGGCCTCTTCATTACTCCTCAAATGGAGCAAGCCTGTTCCTCTCTTGGGGCCTCTGACTTACTGTTTCCTTTGCCTGAAACACTCTCCCACCAGGTACTCACATGGCTCTGTCAAACATTTCACCTGCTCAGAGGGACTTTCCCTGAACATCTAAAGAAGTTCTCCTCCCACCTGACATCGCCACTCCGGCCCCGTCTCAACCTGACCCTTTGGTGCACTTGCCCCTTTTGATACCGTGGTGTACAATTTATTATCTCTCAGATTATTGTGTGTCCTCCCCACAAGAAGTAACTCTGCAAGGATAAGCACTTTGTCTCCTTTGTCACGGTGGCTCCAGCACCTGTGACCCTGCCTGGCACACAACTCGTACTCAGTAAATGTCTATTACATAACTGATTCAATGAATCTCTAGAAAGGCTGTAATAAGAGTTTAAGAAGAGGGTGAATATACATGTACTTTGACAGAAGAAACCTTTTCTCATTAGTCTGGAGCAAGAACAACCAGAGCACTGATGTCTTAAAAAATTTTTTTTAACTGCCTCAAACTTCCTTCTTCAAAGGGAAGGAAGCATCTACCATGTGCTACTTAATCCATACAATGATCCAGGGAGGAAGAACTGTCACCTCTATTTTGAAGATGAAGAAATGGACACAGACAGCCCGAGAGGTTAGGTAAGAGCTGGTGAGTGGTGCAGTGGGGATTCAAATCCAGGGCTCTCCCTGCGACACTGGTCTGATTTGGAACAAGTAAACTCTGGGCTACAGCATGATGTAAAAGCAGAAAAAGCAAAGGAAACAACAGACACAGCAGAGAGGCAAAGAAAAAGCTTGGCCCCTGCTTGCTCCGTGTCCCTGATCACATTCTCAGCATCCTAAGCCAGGGCTTATGCAGTCATCAGGCCATTCTGCTAACTTCAGCACAACCTGGTTCTTGGAAGACACAGAATAGAGTGGAAGGCACAATGGAGAGGGTATCAAGAGACCCTGTCCTTGTCTCAGTTTTGTCACACAGTAATTACATGACCTCTCTAGCTGAGCGTTCTTAGTCATACAAGGCGGTCAGAACAAGATTCTTTCCAGCTCTAACAGTGAATGATTCTATTCCTCAATGGTAGGGTTGCTTATGGTAGAATTTATGACACTCAGTTACCCAATGCTATTCCATCATCCATAGAGTAAAGCCATATGCAATTTTTCCTCCTACCTATGTTCAAGAATGAACAAAAGGTGAAAGCTGGTGGTGATATGTTTAAATGCCCTCGGGAATTTTTAACTAAACAGTGCTTCTCAGATTTTGTCACTGAAATAAATGGCAAAGAAATGAAAACTCTGGCTGAGGGCTTAGGGGAAGGCAGTGTGGACTGGGATATAGGCTAACCATTATCTATGGCAAGCAGGATATAACCCATCCAATTCTTTCAGTACAAATTATGTTCATGAAGGTCCACCAAATTGATCCTATGGTTTTGCACTTTCTGGTCAACATATGGCCAAAAATGTGCCTTATTTCTGGGTGGAGATGTGAAGAGAAGGTTAATGAATTTAGCAATGACAACTATGTTTTCTGAAATGGTCACAATTATTTTATTGAACCATTTCTGAAATGGTCCATTGGTCTTTTCCTGTAATGTGATTTTCTATAACATCTCAGGAATGATACACCTAAGAAATCCATATTATTATAGTCTTAATAGGCAATTTTTAAAAGCACTCCAACCATTTCAATCACATCTGGAGAGTCTATTTGCAGCACTAAAATCAAGCGCTGTTCTTACACATGCTTCCATGCTGAGTGTCACTAGTGTTCAAGTGGTTTAAAACCTCAGGGCGCGGTGGCTCACGCCTGTAACCCCAGCACTTTGGGAGGCTGAGGTGGGTGGATCACTTGAGGTCAGGAGTTCAAGACCAGCCTGGCCAACTTGGCAAAACCTCGTCTCTACTCAAAATACAAAAAATTAGCCAGGCATGGTGGTGCGTGCCTGTAGTCCCAACTACTTGGGAGGCTGAGGCAGGAGAATCGCTTGAACCCCTCAGGGAAGCAGAGGTTGCAGTGAGCCGAGACAACACCATTGCACTCCAGCCTGGGCAACACAAGTGAAGCTCTATCTCAAAAAAAACCCCCCAAAAAACAAAAAACAAAAAAACCCCAAAGCCAACCAAACAAAAAACAACACCTAGAAGAACACTATAAACACTAGGTCCTGGAGTTTTATCTGGCATAAAATACATAAGTGTGTATTAATTTAGGCAACTAATTTGATCCTTTAAAACCACGGTGATTCCAGCTTCAGAACCTTGTCATTCACGATCATTGCAGGGATCTGCTTCTCACAGGTTAACACAAGCTCCCAAGCCTGGTCGCCTGGCTCTATCTCCCCTCCACCCTCACCTCGGGCCGCCAGCACTGCCTCTTCACTGCACCGCAGCCAGGCTGGCCTCTTCCTATTCCCTGAACTTACCAAGCTCTTTCCCTAGCAAAGTGTTAAACATAACTTTTCCTCTCCATTAAACACTCTTCGAAAGCCCTATCCTTCTCACCCTTTATCTCTCAGCTGAAATATCATATCCAATTCCTCACAGGGGCCTTCTCACCCACTCTGTCTCCATTTTGGTGAGAGCTATATGTACTTGTATTTATTTGTCTGCATTCCTTTTTTCAATAAATGTTTATGGAGTGCCTGCCGTATGTCAGGCCCTGTGTTATGCCCTGGAAATAGAACAGTAAACAAAACAGACCAGCCCTGCTTTCATGGAGGTTACGTTCTAGTTGGGGAGGCAGGCAATAGTATTATTATGTAGTATATTTGAAAATGGTGAGTGCTACAGGGAAAATAAAGCAGCAAATGGGCAGTACAGGGTTATAGTTTTAAATTAGATGGTCACAGTAGGCCCTACTGAGAAGTTACCTTGTGTCTGTTATTTTTTAATGTCTAGCAACACATCTAAATGGTCAGCTCCATAGAACTGGGACCATGTCCACTATATTTATTGGTATATACTCAGTGCCTAGCACATATTAGGTAGGTGCTTAGGACATCTTTAGTGAACACATGCACAAATGTTAGGCCTCGGTCTACCTGTCAAAGCATTTATTATTCTGATACTCATCACATAAATGCAGGGAAAGTTCAAGAGTTAAAGGAAAACTTTGCATTATATGTAATTGATGTGTTCCTTAAAAGTAGGTATAGGGTAGAAATCATATTATGGTAAATTAAATCTTTTCTACTTTATTTTTTTTGAGACGAAGTCTCACTACATTGCCCAGGCTAGTCTCAAACTCCTGGGCGATCCACCTACCTTGGCCTCCCAAAAATCTTTTCTACTTTCTAAATTATAATCTTACTAGTACAAACAGCACTCCACAATTGTTAGTTTTCTAAATTTAGATTTTCTGGTATCCAGTTTCTTAAAAAAATAAAGCTTAAGGCAGATAGCTTTAACGCTTACACCTTAAGGTGGGGTGTCCAATCTTTTGGCTTCTCTGGGACGTATTGGAAGAAGAACTGTCTTGGGCCACACATAAAATACACTAACGATAGCTGGTGAGCTAAAATTTTCTTTAAATCATGAAAAACTCTCATAATGTTTTTAAACAAAGTTTACGAATTTGTGTCAGACCACACTCAAAGCCGTCCTGGGCCACGTGCCGCCCACGGGCTGTACAAGCTTGCCTGCAAGTATACTTAATAGAGTACACCTTAAAGCTTTGTCTCCCCTATCCTAGTAAAACCATTCTTTTTCTTTAAAATAGCTCAATCACATGCTTACCCTGTGATGCCCGATGTAACATAGTCTTTCCCCAAGTAGTTATAACCGTGGCGAACGAGGTCCTCACACACATCCTTCACTTTACTGCCTCCAAACGCAGTGCCGTAGTGGAATCTGCCATCCAGCACACCGGCCTTGCCAGCCAGCAGCTCAATGAGCTTCCCCACCTGTGGGATGTGAACAAATTAAGTGAGCACCTCCCTGTGGCACAAGCACTCTCTCTGCTTATTTATCTCCAGCTTATTTCCCCACGACCACTATTAATAACAGTGATAAATTAACAGAAGCAGTATTTAAGCTTGACATGTGTGATCTAATTTTATGACTCTCAATACCCTATGAGATAGGTCGTATATTTCTTCATTTTACAGATGAAGAAACTGAAGTATGGGGAGGATAAGCAACTTGTCCAAGGCCACACAGCTGGTAAGAGGTGGAGCCAGGATCACCAAAAATAATCACTGAAAGGGAGATCCATTTAGGTTCAATACAAGGAGTTCTCTTTTGCTGAGGGGCAAATTCATCACTCAGAAGACTCCACTCTCAAAGGGAGGTATAGACAAGCTCCTCATTCTTTCTGTACAGGAGAGTGGCCCAGAATCGTCAGGGGCTGGAAGCCTGTTTATCTGGCAAGGGGCGAAAGAGCTCTACCTGAAAAAACAGCTTCAGAGTCCTTGTCACCTCCACTCTAACTAAACTAACTGCCTGCTTCTTCCTTAAAGGCAGTGCCTCTGAAAAACCTACAGGTCACTGACCGTCATTCGTGATGGGAAGCCGTGTGGGTTCATGATGATATCCGGACAGATGCCAGAATCACAAAATGGCATGTCTTCCTGGGGGACAATCAAGCCACAAACACCTGGGGGAGAGAAGATTTCATGCCACATAAAGCAAATCGGCAGAAAGGAAGAATACAGTACTTAATTAGGATTTCCCTGCTGCTATTTCTATTTCCACTGCTCTAAAATCTTCCCCATGGCCTCTATCAAGAGTAACAAAAGCAATTTTCAACAATCCTGCTGGACAAACAGTTCAAAAACGACTCTCCTTTCTGTGCTGCTGGCATGGCACACAATGGTGCTGTCAGGCTGCCTGCCCACCCTCCTGTGCCACAGAGACTGAAGAACAGCGGCTTCACTGGACCCCAGGCCTGTGGCCATCCCTGAAGCTTTAAGTCAGCAGCAGTTTTGCTCCTCATCAGCTAGTTTGTGACCTGCGGGGTTCTGCACCCAAGTTAAACAAATCCAAGTTCTCTGACCCCAAACACAGAAATGACTGGATGAGGGGTGTGCTTACAATGTGGTTTTAAAAAACAGTGACAAGAAGTACCTGTGTGTGGCTGATGTGCTAACAGGTTTACCTCTATATAGGCTGCAGTGCTCTGGCTGGTTGGCTGATTTTTCCCAGGGCTTCCCTGGCTGAGTCTAAACTGCCCAAAGGAATTTTAATTCCTATAGCTTACAACCCATTAGGAAAGTGATCTTTGATTGAACTTGTAAAGTTGAACAAGAAAATTAAATGCCAAATCGTTCTTGGAAAAAAAAGGTTAGAATTAGAAATGGAATTCTAAGAATGAAAACAACAAAACAAAAATCTACCAACTCCATGCACTACTAATATTCTCTTAAATTAATTCCCTTAATATCATTCTAACCTATAGGGGATTTTGTTGCTAAATAGTTTTTTATTCCTCTGATTTCTTTTTCTTGGGAAGAGGAGGAGGAATAGAATTTAGATTGTTAACTACAATCTTCATAATTTAGAATCAGAAAACTAGTGTACAGTGGCATTGGATTAAGAAAACAAACGCTTTTACATTTGTAGTAAAAGATAAAATTCCTTTTCTCTGTGCGTAAAGTTATCCACTATCTGCCCCTATTGCAAAGAAACTGCTCTCAAATATTTCATTCAATTTGACTGTATGTAATTATTCCAACTATTTTAATAGTTTGTGATTTGTTATAATCACCAGGAGCTAAAGTCAAAAGAAAAAAGAATGCCATTTGCCTATGTAATACTGGTTATTAATATTCTGATTTCTTGTAGCTGCCCACAATATGGATATTAAGTTTGTGGAGTTGAATTCTAGAGCATGTAGTTAGTTTAAATTGGCTTTTGGGTTAAAATGGTATTGTTTATTATAAATATATGCTTTCCTACATGAAGAATAGAAACAATCATTCAGTTCACTTTATTTCAAATTCAGCTACAATGTGTTAGAATTTCAATCAAGCAGTGTGACCCTTCTTTCTTCCTTCCAAAAATCCATCTTATCCACACTGAAATTATCTGACAAAACCCTAGGGCTACTGGGAAATCTACTTTGAAAGAGATCAAATTGTAAATTTAGGTGCACCGACAACAACATTGTTCAGCAGTGAACAAAATGTTAAAAACGGCAATCCCTAAAGGGGCCGGTTCTGGGACCAGCTCAAGTGAGAATGGAATTTTGGCTGGTGAGGAGATGGAGGGTTCAGCTATACCCCTGAAAAAACCAAACCAAAGAGAAACCTCAGCACCCCTTAAGCAGCGGTTCGCAGGAGGAGGCCGGCGTCTGCTCAGGAGGAAGCTGCCTGTCCACCCTCCATCAAGAGAAGGTGGGAGTGAGGGCAGGAGGTGCAGAAACTGACCAAGGAAGCATGACGTACTTATATTGGGGGTGGGTAAGGAGAGGATGACTTACATTTTGTGTTTACAGTTTGAATTGACATATTTAATTAAGCAAATGCAACTTTATTATGTTATTAAAATGAAAAAAGTGCTCGTTCCACTGAAATGTGAATCTCTAATACCTTTGCTTGAAATCTGATTAATCATATTTAGTGCAGAGCTTCCTTCTGGGGAAGCTGTTTTCTTATCAGCCCTCTTCTGATATTTTGTTAAAAAAATACACATACGTAGCTTTTGGATCTTTTTCCTTCTATTATAGGAACTGCTTTGGCAATATCTGCACCAAGGGCACCTGTAAGTCAAAAATTAAATCTTAGCTGACTTAAAATTACTTTAGGCCCTGAAAACCCTTTTATATGCCAAGATGGTTCCCATAGCAGACAGCCCTGTGTTGTTTGTTTTGTGTGAAAGTGAATGATAAAAGATCCATGAAATCGACACAGAAAGCCAGAACAGCAGAAAGAACTGAGGGCTCTCCATCATTGCGGCTTCTACCCTCTGCTGACTTGAGGAACAATGGAAGCTACACATCCAACTGCAGATCTAACACAGCTGTGCATTTCATTAGATGAAGAGCACTAGTGACACAAGTAAATAATTAACTTATTCTGGTCCGCTGACTGTGCTTATGAGACCAGTCATAGCTGACAGATTTTAATACAAGTTAACACAAAGAGACCATAATGAGCTTAGAAGTTAAAACAAAATATTTAGACAGAATTTGATGATCTCGAATCTCAAATTAGACAGATGATTTTTAAAAGTTTGTATTTTACTGAATTCATTAGGGGTAGAAAGAGAGTTCTCAATCTTAGAACCAGACTTTTCTTTTTCTAACAGTATTTCTCTGTTTCAGAATTATTCAAATCCTTAATCACAGCGGGAAGGTTTCTTTTCTTATTTTCAAATGAAAGATTAAAACTGTTTTCTCCAGGGACAGAGGCATAAAGTCCATTCCAATATTTAGAAGTCTTAAAAGTTATGGTCATTTTCCCTTAACACTGGTTTAAAATGTAAATGATATGCGGTGCGCTTCAGTGTGTTAACACTCCCCTGGATCCTTGAAAAGAGGACGGACTACAAATAAACCATATCTAATGGAAGCTGTTGTGAAACAATTACCAATTCATACCTTAAATGCTTACACAGCATTTCAGATTTTAAAATAAAATTTCATCCCCTGGCTCAAGCTGGTGTCTCAACCCCATTGTTTACAGCACAACCTCCTGGCAATAAAATGCAAATACACCAGTTTAACACGCTCAGGAACATTTAATGCACTCAGGAGGGCCAAATGGGAATTGGACCACAGACTATAGTATAGAACTTTTAACAAATGCAAATAGATAGTAAGAAAAAAAAAATAGAATCACAGAAAGTTAGAGCAGAAAGGAACTGCCGATACCCCAATCAACAAAATATTATTCCATCACCATCCATCTTAATGTCTAGTTGTAAAGGGAAGAAATTTAGGGAGTCTAAATCTGACTGCCCATCCACTCAGGAGAGGCACTTCTGACATCCACTGTCACAGCTCTCTGTATCACGCTGCAGACACTGCTGGCTCCTACACCAATTTGTTATTTCTATTTCCAAGGCTTCACAGAACAACACAGTAATCATTTAAGAATAGGTTTGCTCAGGAAAAGTCGAGTTAATCTCAGGAATCATTTGGTTGTCTTTAAAAATATTTCTTTTTTCTTTTCTTGGACAGGGTCTCACTCTCTTGCCCAGGCTAGAGTGCAGTGGGCAATCATGGCTCACTCAAGTGATCCTTCCACCTCAGCCTCCCTAGTAGCTGGGACTATCACATCCAGCTGTGTGCCACCATGTCCAGCTAATTTTTATTTTTATTTTTGTAGAGATGAGGTCTCACTATGTTGCCCAGGCTGGTCTCGAGTTCTTGGACTCAAGTTAAAGGGCTGGGAAGAGAGGCGTGAGCCACCATGTCTGGCTTAAAAAGTATTCCCAATTCTAAACAGCAACTGACTTATTCAAAAGTCATTTTTGGCCTTTAAAAAATACTGGTTTTAGTGTACTCTCTGTGTAATGGACTACCTTAACTCAAACAGGAAAAAAAGAAAAGTAAGAAAAGAAAAAATAGTAAGAAAAATTAATGCATTCTAGTAGCATATGAAGACAGGAAAGCAAATGGCAACTGCAGAAGACAACTGTAATGCCATCTCTAATTCAAGAGATGTTTTTGATGTGACTTCAATGTGTTGAGACCTGATTAGTAAATTGTTTCAATTTTGTTGATGGCCAGTTCTCATTTTAATATCACAGTCTGCTTTAATTTTTACATTTTTATTTAGCAAGTCTATCTTCTAAGTGGAATCACACTTGAATTAAATTTACCTCTCTGAGGTTAATATATATTATTACTCTTCCTTTTCTGATTGAGGAAAGAGAAAAAGAATCATTTCCCTCAATTGCTGGGGAAGTAGAGATTCAGGGCCTCAACTCCAGACAGGCGGAGGTAGCTTATGTCGAGTCATCTGAGTGAATATTGAAAACTTCATAAACATATTGTATACATTTATACAATTCAGCTTGCCACTTTCTAATGCTCTAAATGATGTGAAGCACATCTGGCAGAATGGTCTGCTGAAATAATCCCAATCAAAGTCTAAATTACCTCCTTTTACTTTCTGCAGATACTCAGCCGTTGGACAAGACTATTTATTCTGCACAGTTTTACACTCTTTACAATGAATGATGAAATGATGCTGTGGTTTTTCTCCATCAGTCACAGTGCAAGAAGAGAGCCGTGTTTAGTAAGGGATGAACACTCAACCAGTGCCCAGTATTAGTGAGCTTTATAAATGTGGGCGAAATGCCGTCTGTAAAGAATTCATCACCCCTTGGATTCTTAGACCTATGTAGAGCAGGCGATCGAGGAAATGGGTGACTTTAATTTGACTCAATGCTTTTCCACTGATGTGTTACCTTGGGGGTGCGGGGGAAGCACCACTTTCTGGTGAGCCTTAGTTGTTTGCTCTTCATAACGGGAATAATTAGCACCTATCTCATGAGGCAATTGTGTTAGAAGAACAGATGAGCTAATGTCTGAGAGGTACTTTAAGGTCCTTAGAGAAAGGCTGCATCTAAATACAAGGAATTATTATTATATAAGAAACCTAATTACTCTCAGCAGGAAGCAAACTAGCAAAGCAAAAGAGACCAACT